TATGGGCCAGTCACATGGTCATGGAGGATCCCTGCCCAAACATTTATGGAGAACCGCCGCTGGAACGAATGAGGGCGTGTGGGTTCGTAGATGCCCATATGTGTGACATGTGTGTGTAAAAACACCCTCAGGAGTAAAAGTGCACTTGTCCGTAAACAGAGCACACGCACCGAAATCCGGCTGTTCTGCATTCTGTTGGAGGTACCAACGTGCGAAATCGACACGTGGCTGATAATCCGCTGGTGACAATTCCGCTTGTACTTTCTGTGTTAAGGGTGCATACCTTCCTCCTGTAGCACTTAACAAACCGTCATTTGGGACACGTTTACAGCTACATAGAATGTCTTCTTCAAGTTGCGGCTTCCTGGCGCTTCTTTCATGACTCGTGTCTGATCCCATTTTACACAGCTGCGGATGCGAACGCTCGAATGTTTTCCGATTTGCAGTGCGTCTAATTGGAAACCGGTCCCCGTAAAGTCTTTGTGCCTCGCTTGCATTTTCGTTCTCCGCACCGTATACGAAGTGCATATCGGCCATTTCATAGTTCGTATAACCAGCCATCCTCTCGGCAATCCAGTAGAAAATTTCGCTAAGTGTGAGGACCAATCTTTTTATACCATTTACAATGCCACCTAGCGGTTCGCCGTTTGCGTTCTGACCATACATTCTATGAATAATATTGCTCGTATAACTGCCTTCTTACACCCCCTAAAGTTTTACCCACTTGTTCAGATTCACCCTGTATAGAGGTTTTGTTACTTACGTGCGTCTTTTCCTAGCTGCTGTGAGCGCTGAATTCCTTTTCATAAATGATAAAGTTACATTTTTCCATACAGCTGCCACTGAACTGTTGATAAGTTAAGATAATCGCTGCATGGATTGGCTCTCAAAGTTCCCTGCCAGAAATTCATTCGAACAATTACAGGCTGTTCATGGGAGACGCTAGCCAACACATCGTCAACTACCAAATTCGCACAGAACTATATCCTGAAATAAGTACCGCAAAAATTTACTTCCATGACAACAGAGGGCGGTATTAGCAATCTCAAGATTTTATCCTAAGCATTTCTTTTTTGACTTTGTCACTCCTTGACATTATCTTTTCGTCCATTCACATTCTCTTTTCGAATGCCTGTGCAATTGCACATATACCATGAAAGGCCCTATGGCACTATTGTGATGACTGGTAAATAAATTTTGATGGTAGAAGTCAGTAGAAGAAAGAAGTTTCAAGTTCTAAGAGAACCAAGCATAAAACCGATAGCACAGGCAAGTACAGATCCAATGGCAATCCATTCCACTATACAGCAAACAGCAGTTATACAGACTCAAATGGAATTGAAAGATGCATTCAAGAAGTGAGTGTGTAATCCCAGAGCTATATGAGTTCTGTCTTTAACACCTGATCATCGGCGTGCACATTTCCAATAGTATTAAGTCAGGGGAGTAGTAGCGCCTCGAAATGGGGATCTGTGACGTTCAGCGGTAAGTCTACGCTTCGTTTTGGGATCAGATGATATCTTATCCGATGTGGAAGTGTCCTGACAAGCATTACAATCCCAACTTAGCTATCAAGCAGCAAATGTCCTCAACAGCATATATTATAGACCAGACAGCCATATCCTGCGATAGCTGGACTGCTCCAACAGTGGTTCATGCCACATTGGCGAGCTAGAGATACTATGTGGATATGTCACAACTGTTCCCATTTTTTGCTAGAGTCCAGAAATTTTATTCTAGATAATCCTGGGCTGCATTTAGCAAACACTAATGCGCGCGATATGAAAATTCCTGTGACATCACGACTTCTGGTCATTACAAATTTCGGAACACATGAAGTGATTCTTTGGTGAAGCTTGGTGCATTGTGGTAACGCTGAGTTAGAGTATTTTGATTTTCTATAGTTTTTAAGTTGGATGAATTTTAGAAGTACGAATACATTGTTTTGCTACTGGAAATTTATATTCTTCCAATTCTATCAACACTTTTAAACGCATGTTCTCGTACATGTACGTTACTTCTGTTACGAACAATTTTCAATTATCGTGATAATAATGTAGAAACTTGATTTAGTTCCTGTTTTAATTACACCTGCATATTAAATGATTTCCCTAGTCCTTTGTCGCTTCCCTTTTTAGTTTAGTAACATTTTTAATCGGTTCGTTTATGCTAGGTATTATTTATTTCTTAGAAGTGTTGCAGCAGCCGATTGTAGAAAAACGGACTTAGCTATCGTCACTGTGTTTCACTGTAGATTAGGATATGACATAACCCGATCTATTTCAAAGTAAAATACAGGGTGTTCATAATTAAACTTAAAATTTGCGAGCAGTCTGTAGCAAAAAGTATGCAGCAGAATTGCATGAAAATTGGGTAATGGCAGAATGAAACGATAGAAATTTTATCGAAGGGGGGGGGAGACAATGAGTTTCAAAAACCACTGCTAGATGGCGTTGAGCAATGTAAACTATTGGCATATGCAAATATCGTAACCACAGCATCCTGTGTGTGCACAGCAACCCTATAAAGATGCGAGAGGCGAACTGAAGTCATACTCGTTTCCAAGTCAAGGAAGATGAAGTTGACTCTCAAGGAATGTGCTTTACTGATGAAATTGTTTTACCAAAATGGAGACTCTGCTTCGGTCTTTGAAGCGGTTACGAAAAGGTCCGATTGGGGGATTCAGCCAGGAAGGGGACGAAAGTGTGTTGCAGCACAGGTAGTGGATGATGTAGCGACACAAGTGGAGGAAGACAGATCACAAACCACTGGCAGCACTAGTATACGGCGTATTGCAGCATCTGTTGACCAAACCTCATTCCCCAGTTCATAAGATTCTTCAAAAGGCCTTCCGCTACTATCCTTATAAACTGTCGCTAGTGCAGCAGCTCTAACCAGCTGATCTGGATAGTCGACAAACTTTCGCGTTGCGTTTTCTTGCGTGAGTTGAGCTTCAGGATGAATGGCCATGGAATATTTTGTTTTTCATATGGAAGGTGCGTTTAACAGGTACAATTGCCGTATTTGGGCTGCTACAAACACACATCAGTTCCTACAAATTCCATTACACTCTTCACATGTAACGGTTTGGTGCGGCTTTACTGCAATCTTCATTGTGAGTCAGGTTTTTTTCGAAGAGTACAGCACCACAGGACCTCTGACATGCACTGCCATTATCAGGCAAGGTGATGTGATACAACCACAGTGTTTATGCAAGGTCCTGCTCCTGTACACATCGTCCGTTGTGTGAAGCAAGTGCTCCGCCGCCATTTTGGTGACAACAGAGTCACCAGCCATCAATTTCCTACAGCTTGGCCTCCTAGATCCCCCGGATTGAATCCTTCCGACTTTTGGCTATGGGGATACCTCAAGGCATGGTCTACCGTGATCCCATCACACCTTAAAAAAAGCATAAAACGCCATGTGCGTAACATGCCCCAGTTTATGCTGCTTTCAAAAGTCGACCATGCGGTTTTATGCTTCCACATGGTAGCAGACAATGATGGACATCATATTGAGAATGTTTTATAAATTATTTATGTGTTCTCAGTAAAACTATAATACGCCACTTACGGGTGGTTTTTGAAACTCATTTGTTTTTCCCCCTCATTTCATTCTTCTGTTACCCAATTTCCATGCAATTCTGCTGTATAGTTCTTGCTACAGACTGCTTACAAAAATCAACTTTAATTATGGACACCCTGTATTACGGATTTCTGAAAGATATTTTTATTGACCTGTATTAGTTTGATGTTATAATACAAACAGACAAAGCTTATCTGTAAAATTTCACATCTCTTAATTCTACTGTATATTAGCTACTCTTTTTTTACTTCCTTGTACGAAGTATAGCTATTACAATACTTCAATTTCATTTCAAAATAGAAATGTGAAAAATTTCAGGTATCACATTTCAATAAATATATCCATTTTGACTGCTCTCTAATCCATTTGAATGATTTTCTGGGTGCCATCTGTACATACGGACAGATTAAAGGATTGTTTCTTCCAAAACGAAATGTATGGTAGATTTAAAGTGAATTCAGAAGAAATTTTTTTCATAATACACATATGCATGTATCTCGGATAATTCAAAAATGAATAGCCATAAAACATTGAAATTTTGTATATAGGACTGCTGTACCATCTAATTGTGCACCTCCCTTTATTGTAGCAGTCGACAGCACTGAACATACACACACATATATATATAGTCCCATCCTCTTACCTGGTTTAGTGAGTTTTTCCTTTTCTTTTTCAATATTGGTAAATTGTGCGTTTTTGCTGTAAAAGTGATTGAATTATTTTGTTCTTATGTTCCGGTTAAGATTTTAATGCCTTTAGTTGATCTACATGCTATAATTGTAGAATTATTAACAATTTAAAGTTTCACTAGAACTAATGTGGCGGGTATATGTTTGCATCTGAAAGTCTCAGTAGTGTAACAAGTTAAGGTAATTCGTGCACCAACTTATGTCTTTTTACACTTTAAAGGAACCAAAAGTTTACTTTAAATTTTTGTCTTTTTCTCAGTAAATCAAACTGCATTTTGGAGTCTCCTATTTTAACTGCAAAATTTTTTTTTAATTGTATTTGGGTTTTTAGATTTTTCTGCATTTTTGCCTTGCCACGAAGTGGGAACTGAATTAATCGAAAGGGAAATATATGCCTAATGAAATTCAAGGAAGTCGTATGGTGTCCACAGCACACCAGATTTTTATATATTAATTTTAATGTGCAACATTTCCATATTAAACTGCCAAGCAGATACTGTGTCCCATTATGCAAGGGAAATTATCCCAAAAGACCAAAACTGTAGGTATTCTCCTTTCCTAAAAATGAAGTTTGAATAAAGTTGCTTTCTTTCATCCAAAAAGATTTCAAATTTAAGTAAGGTTGAGTTATTAATTAACAGTGTGGATTCTATTTACATGTAAGGGTTCATTCTGAAATTTTTAAGTGATAACCTTTTATTACATAAGCCAGGATATACAAAGTAATGATAAAAAATACAGCCTTTAATCATTGCAGATATTTTACAATTCTATTCAAAAAATGAATATTCTGCATTGAAAATGCTCAGAATAAGCCCTCTGATTTTTAAGCTTCAATTATTTATTATATTTCAATTAAGTATTTTTTTTAAATCTTTCTCTTAAGGTTTATGAATTACATTTCAAGGAGTGACTTAAAGTCGAAGCTTCAAAATTTGATCCCAAGAATGGAACTTTAATACCTGATCCACTTCATGTGCATACAGAAAAGAAAACATGACATCAGTATTTAAAGAATACCAGGCTACATACAGTTCATTGCATGAAAAGATCCCTATGGAAAAAAAAAAAAAAAAAAAAAAAAAATCAGTTAGTGACATAATTTGCAGAAAGCTTTGCATGAAAGCCTTAAAAAGTGTAAGTCATTTAATAACGATTTGAAAACTTTCCAATGATATATTGTCATGTATTGATTGCTATGGAATACCAGCATTTTGGCATGTATATCCTGTTTTTCCAGTACATCAACTAATTATTCAATAGTTGTGACTGACAATCAAAAAATGTTTGTATTCCTTAAAAAAAAATTTGTTTTTTAAAGACAGCCTAAATTTTAAAAAGAATGACAAATAAAAAAACACTGAACTACATGCTACCTGTATGTGAATATATTTTCAAGGTGCTATATATAATAAACAATTTGTTAACATAAAAACTGTTTGAAACATTTTTTGTTTTTGTTACATCACTTTATATTTTACATTCCGAATACTGTTTATTCTCCTATAATTTTTATAATGCCTGGTAAATGAAGAATCTATTTATTTCACGGTGGTGAATTCGTATTAACAAATTATCAAAAAAGTTCTAAATTTCTTCAGTTTTAAATTAAAATAAAATGTTCTGAAAGTAAGACAACCTAGCCATCATCTTAAAATTAGATACAAGTCCTGCAAATTTTAAGGACATACACATGCAATTGCAATGGACAAATCCGATTACAGCAAAGTACATTGAGACTATCTACTGAAGCGGAGAAATGGCTTTGTGGAGAACTTTAAAAGAGGAAATGATTCATATTCATATAAAATGCGAAAAAAGAAAAACCCACAAAAGTACCCAGGCAGCCACCTCATTCACAGCAACTTGAGCCTGGGTTGAACTATCAGTATTCAATGGTGCTCTCACAGTTGCAAGAGGTGTTTCAAAACTCTCGGAATAAATAGCATGAAGCACTCTGCAAAATGAAAAAAAAAAAAAAAAAAAAAAAAAAGTTATTACAAAGTATTATGTATACAGTATATAAAAACACCGTTGAGAAATGATACTTCAGACTTAACCACTTTTCACTATGTACTATTTTAAACTGAACTATCAAACTATAAAGTGATAATAATCCAGCACGAATGAACCTAATGGTGGCAGTGAGGTGGCGATATACTTAATCATGATCATGAATGTTCTTTATAATTTACAAAAATCCTAATGACTTGTGAAATAGATGAACTGTTTAATTCTTAAAATTCTGTCAAATTTAGATAAGAAATCTTTCAAAAAGAGAAAGGGAAACTTTACTACCAGATGTTTCTCCCTCGGCATTCATTATATAAAATAATTTTAAATTTCATTATTGTATTTTATAACAAACTATCATTTATTCATTTCAAGATCTCCTGAGATAAGCACATAATTTTTGTGTTTTAATACATATTTGCCTCTTTAAATACTTTGTAATTTAATGAACTTTATTGCAGATCCCATACAATTTCTTTAAATCCAAATTCAAAAGCGTTTATTTCATATTTTGAGCATATAATCAGTGTGAGCTGGTAAACAGCTTCAGTATAAATGAAGGTATTGCTTTTTGAAATTTGCTGGACTTTGCAACCAATTTGCACTTTTTGAACATATCTCAAATTTTCAATAAGCTAGGGACAGCAAGTAATTACTGGTTCAACTTTAACATATTTTGAATGTGTACTACACTGCTGTTACAATTTTCTTTCTTCTTTTTTATTGTATTAACTGTATCGATTCTGACAGCTTTCAATAAAAATTTTCTTATTACTGGATTACATATTCAGTAAATTAAGCATAAAACTATTACAATACAATAACATAATATTTGTCAATAAAAACTACACATTTCAGTAACATGCATAAACTGTAGATACAGTTTTAAAAGTTAAAATGTATTTGAACTTTTTCTCTGATAGACATTTGAATGGTTTTTAAATGTCCTACAAAAGTGTATCTATCATGAATAGCACAAGCTTCAGCTTAAAAACTGTTCAACATGCCAAATTTTCAAGATATATTTTTTAACATCCCATGTTGGCCTCTGAATATGAACTTATTTTCGAAATACATATTTTTTCCACATCCCATTTTTGGCTGCTACATCCAAAATTATTTTTTGAAATATGAACTATTAACATGGGTACTCTAACATTACAATATACATTTCACAACTGATTTTCAACTCAAAAGATACCAACCCCTAAATTTACAGTTGCTTTTCTATATGCCTGGCTTTTACTGCATGGATTGTGAAAATGGTCATAATATGATGGATTGACTATGCATTATCAAATCAATATCAATCAGTATAAATAATTTATTCTTCACTGTTTGTGTTTTAACCAGACACTGGAAAATAGTTCAATGCAAAATCAAAATTGGGTGCAGAAAAACAATGGCCCAACTGCATCCAGTGCTTTGCAAGGACCTCAAAGCAACTGAAATTGTATATACCACTGTATCCTTGACCCATGCATCAGGAATACAGTCAAAAGTCGTTAATTCGGACACCCATAATCCGAATGATCTATAATCCAGACCTCAAAGCTAAAAACTTTCTGCACATGCGCCGCATTGACACATGCGCATAGGCGTTTACGCGTGCGTGTAAGACCTCTTACGACTGCGCATTTGCGTGTGCGCAAGCGCATAATACGTTTTCGCGTGCGCGTATTATGTATAACGAACAGTATAAACTAAAATTATCTAATTATCTATTTCAGTTAATGTTGATGATTGCGTTGTTCCTTAATTTTTGAATTGGATCCGGCTTATTATTTTTTGCAGACTGTAAGAGCAATACTATAAAAGTAAACTTGAACTTTCGATTATGTCAAATAGAATTTCCGAATCTGGAGCTCCCAAAGGATCGTACAAAACGAAAGTATGTTTCGATGTCCATCAAACAGAAAGTGGAACTGCTGCAAAAAATGGATAAAGACATGAAGAATGTGACAGAGAGGTTAGTGAAAACGAAAAAATTTCGATTGACAAATTAGTCGGTATTCTCGGCACAGCAATTAACGGGACTTGAACAGCGGAACTTTGTAACTGAACAGAAAATTATGTCTGTTTATAGAATTAAAGAGAAAGTATTATCACATAAAACGAAGCAGTTTAAACAACTTACATTGAAAGAAATGTTTAATAAAGTAAACAAATAAATATTAAGCTTCTTTTTTTTTTTTTTTTTTTTTTTTGTAAATTTTGATATCCTTTAGATCATAATTGTTCTTTATTTCATAAATTACGGTTTCATATTTTTAATTTTAGAATTTCTGCATGCCATCTTACGCGATTTAAACTGATGATCTATAATCCGGAATCGCCGAAGTCCCGACGAGTCCAGATTAACGACTTTTGACTGTAGTAGATGTACAGAAGTTGGTACACAAACATAACATTGAACTAAACAACGAGCTGCGAAAGCAGGAAAAGGAAAGGAAGCACAAGAAAAGCATACGTCTTTAAAGAATACAGAAGATAGCAACCAAAAGATTTGGTTTATTAAGATTATGGCAAAGCATACTAGCAACAAAAAGGAAACAAAAGAAATGATGTAAAATCTTGCAACAATGAACTGAATCCAAAGACCTGGTTAATACCCGACTTTCAAATCAAGCCACAGTTTTTAAAGCCATAAAAAGCTTCAATGTCATTAATCATTTAAAAAAAAGCATTTAATATATAAGACCCAAGGACTGTTTGATAGGTTTCTAAATTTTTTTTAAAGATGAACTAATGACAAGACAAAAATATTAAACTAGTCATACAGGAAAAAAATTCACTTTTAAAAATTTTAATAATTCTTTTAATACAAAGCATGTAAAATCAAAGATTTTATAAATAAAACTAATAATTTCTAAATAAATGCATACTTTTTTATCCCCATCCCAGATTCTAAATCTCTGAATGAACTGTTTTGTTGCAAAATTTTATTTTGAAACAAAACTCCAGTTGTATGTGCATGATGTAGCCCTGATAACTTTCTACTAAAACAGTGATTCAGGATAAAAAGTAATTTAAATATAAACTATTTTTTGCAGAACATCTGAAAAAGTACTCGTTCTAAAACGATCAACTGATTTTCCAATACATAAAATAAAAAATTAGGTTTTGAGATACAAACCATTGATGGGAACAAATTAAATTCATAAGTCGAGGTACCACCGTATGCATTTTACTTTGAATTACAGTGAAACTTACATTTACGAAAGAAGCATTAAATGTTGAATGTGTTAAATGCTTCTTTAAACTTCAATTTCATCAAAGGAAAAAAAAAGTGGAATATAATTTTATTTTCTGACTGACAAAGTATTTTCAAGGAAAAATTTCACTTGTTTACAAATGTGTAAGAAAAATTTAACTATGACTATTTTAAGTAATATTGCAAATTTTATTTTGCAACAAAACCTTATTTGTATATGCATGATGTAGCCCAGATAACTTTCTACTAACACAGTGATTTAGGATACAACGTAATTTATATATAAACTTTATTTTTTGCAGAGCATCTGAAAAAGTACTCATTCTACAATGACCGACTGCTTTCAGCTTAATATAAGACAGAAATTTATTGTTGAAATGATACACATTTTGATGCAATTTAGAAGATGGAAAGTATCTAAAATCACTACTGATCACACTTTTATGATTCTTCTGCTAGTTTCTCTGCTTTTTGAAGGACTTCTTCAATTGGTCCAACCATGTAAAATGCAACTTCAGGTATATGGTCCATTTCACCTAAGTAATGAAATTAAAAGTTTAAACTTAAAAATCCACATATTAAAAAACTTAAACTTTTCAAACTTAAAAATCCACATATATGAATTGAAATATCTCTAATAAATTTCAATTGAATCTGAAGCATAGAAAGCAAAATAACATCATTTATAACATAATAATTAACTGCATCTACCACAGCATACTACTACATTTTATTTAAGTACTTTTCCATTACAGCAAACCCTCCAGAAAGGCTTTGCCAATGGCAAAAATCTGCCAAATGTTGATACTTGGGAAGGAGAAAAAAAAAAAAAAAAAAAAACTATTTTGAAGGTTTTTAATGGTTAATAATAGAATTGAATTTCTTTCTTTTTTCTTTTAATTGGCTACATGACAATTTGAAAAACATTTAAACACATATAAAACTGAATGTTCTGCCAGTGGACATTCATGGAACAAATAGCGAGTGCTATTAAATTGAAGTGATTTAATCTCCTACTTTGAGAGTCTAGGGATTCCAGAACGATTGTAATAGAATGTCTACTAAATTGGGATGTCCATGATGGAAGTTTTACAGCACCAATGAATTAAAAAAAAATTAAATACTGTATAAGTCTTATTAATACAAATTATCTACATTTTCAACATTTAAATATATGCAATACAACTCATATAAATAAAAATGTGAATTTTAGTAAAATAACAAGTAAAAATCACTAAGAAGATATAAAGTGGTTCATAGATAATTTAGTTGACTGTTGAATATTTCTAAACCGTTTCATGACAAAAGGTGCACGTATTGCTGGAGTCGCCTGTTTCTTTTACGAACCTGTCTTCAGAAATGAAAGATTTTTCTACAACTAAACCTTAACACGCATTGTTTAATAGTCATCTGTAGACTATAATATGTGACATATGCTTTCTATATACTTTTTTTTATTTACTTACTTCATATACTAATTAAGTTTGTTTTTTGTTTAAATATTTTTATTTTGGATATTAATTCGTTTTTAGTATTTACTTACTTAGTTAGCAACTTCTGATATTATACATTTGACTACTAAACCATTTTACTTAAAATTAATTTTTACTCTGATAAATTTTAAAACAGAGATCTAAACATAATTCTAGTTTATAATAGTCCTTGCTTTCATAATATTACCTGATTTAGATTCACAAAATTTTTTTAAAATTTTCAATGTTTTCACACTGTAATGCTCAAAACAGAAATATTTCACATACATAGTATTTTCTTGCCTCTGCGAAAGGGAAGTAAAACGCGTGCCAAGACACCGTTTGGGGATTATGCATGTAAAGAAAAACTGAAACACACATACACACTATTACAACAGTACCGCCAAAATGTGTGGCACCACATAACGGAAAAATACTCATTCATCAATAAATACCCATTTGGGCATTTACAGAAACACCCAATGCTCCTGTCTCCATCTTCCCAAAAAACTCCCATAACAGTCATCAGTAAACCACGTACATGCATTTAAAGAGCCCCATGACATGCATTTTAAAGAGCCTGCATGTCTAGAATATGCCCTACACCTTATTTTTATATAATCAAAATCCAAGTGTGCGAGTCATTTTTATCTCATGAAGCCCAAATTAAAGTATTTCAAATCACACAGACATATAATACCATCTTGTGCCAAAAATATTAGTTTCTAAAGCAATCCAAAATTCTGACATGGATGCACAACCGGCAGAGGTGAACAAGAATATGTTCTGTCACACCGGCGTGCCAGTAGAGGTTTCATGCTGGCCCATCTGTGTGACAGTCGGCACAAAAAGGGCCAATGCACGACTCGTCGCATCGCACGGTTTGTCTAATCTGCTCTTTATTCTAAAAAACGGCACCATAAATATATTACTAATATGTTCTTCCTAATCATGTTTTCTTCATGTTTATTTTGCAATTAAAACAAAAAATATGATGCGGCAAGCCAAGACATGGAACTGGAGAATAGCAACGAGCTTTAAGTAGATTATTACTTCTGGTAGTTAGTTCATTTGTTGTAAATAAAATCTAATTTATAAACTTTATCACTAATTACAAGTATTATTCATTTTCTACTATTCTATTCTCCCATACAAAGGACATTAAAAATGTTCACATACACATCCATTCCTATGCTTTGATCTAAAAAAAACCACAATTCTTAAAAGCTGTGTATCTTTAGAATTCCTGTTAGAGTGTTTACTGCTGCCATACATTTATTTTTATAGTCACTATATTATTTCTTAAAAAAATAATACACAGTAATAACATTTGGTGCAGCAACCTTTTATTTAAAAAATGTCACCTGACATAAAATTGAAATGAACACCAAATTGAGGGTTGAAGCTAATATCATTTAACTGCTTCACAATGTGGGCTCATCTTTAAAATGAACTTATTTTCATTAGCATTATTCCAAGAATACATTTAATACTTATAAAATGTAATATGTTGTTCTCTATCGCATATCTATTTTAAATACCAAATTTGAGAAGTTTGGGTTTTTTCCCCCCCTCGCTTTTTTTTTTTTTTTTTTTTTTTTTTTTTTTTTTAAGGACTGTTCAAAGTTTCAAGTAAAGTTTCAAGTAAAGTATCCACTTTCGATTTATTAATTTTAGCCCAAATCTAATACAATGTTCCCATTGATATAATGCTTAAATAACTAAAATTGAAAAGTTATGGGTTCTATTTTAATACAGTTTTTTTATTAAAGTCTGTTATGGGCATGAAGTGAAGTACCACTTCCCGCTATCTAATTTTATCCAAAATCAAATCAATATTTAACCCATTGGGGATGTAATCACATTTAATTCTCTCTGTGGCCAATTTTATCACATATCACTTTTCACACAGAACATTTAATTAGCATTTTTTCTTGCAACTAGATATAGCTGTATGTCTGTTAGGGTGAAATTTATAGAAAGTGAAACAAGTTTCTTATTTTTGATATTTTGTTTTGGAATAAGAGTGAGATTCCTGAGTAGATGTTCTGCCTTTTTAAAGATTTTATTATTTTTGGAATTTTTTCAAAAACTGATATTTTTGGATGGTTTAGAGAATATTTTTACATCTAAATAGCAAAACAAAATCCTATTCAAAGGAAATTTATTTTACTGAGTACCCACAAGACCTTTTTAATGTGATACAGACAGAATATACTAAAGATTATTTGTACTTCTGAATAGCAAAAAATTTAAGGGCCATAAATATTTAAAAATTATTTTATAAAAATCTCAAACTTTTAATTATTTTTGGTAACTTTTACCAATATCTTCTTTCTTTCCTATTACAGGAACCACGCCACTGATATCAAGAAGTTGATTACATAAATAATGATTACAGAAAAAATATAACAACATAATTGAAATCCAACTTTCATTATCAATATTTCTTAGTATGAAGACCGAGTTTTCCATAAGAGTTCCTAGTTAAACACAAAATATTAAATAGATTTTAAGCTGTGGAAGTTAAATATAAAACAAAGAATACATCAGCTATGACTAATCAGCAAAATCCATCAGATTTGCCCACCTTTAATATACAACATTCGTATATGAAACTAGTTGGTAATTAATATTCACAACATCAAAGCTATATCAATTTAAAATTTATTAATTTTCATTTCTAATGAAGTTAAGGTATATTTCACATTCAAAATTATCAGAAATATGAATTAATTACCACCTATTATTGATACACTGGAATTATATTTTAAATCACAATGTTTCAAATATCTTGCAAATGAGGCATCTAGATAATATCAGCAACAATTTACCATATTCAACATTAATAATATAAAAGTCTACTTCAAACAACAGGCTGTGCATATGCAGTCAATGCTTTGCATGCAAAGATATTTGAAAAGTTAACAATGTGATAAAAATAGACATAAACACCCTTAGAATTCTCATATACAATAATTATATAGTAAATAAGCAAAATGATTTTTAATTGTTTTTCTACGACTATCTATAATTTTCCTACGAAAATTCACAAATAGGACATTAAACCATACTTGAATTACAGAAATTAATTTAGGACAAGCAGTTAAATACACTTGCATAAAAATGGGATGATGGCATTATCTTACCATTTAATATACTCTTAAAGCCTTTAATGGTATCAGCCAATGGTACAAATTTTCCAGCTTGGCCAGTGAAGACCTCAGCTACTTGGAAAGGCTGTGACAAAAACCTCTGGATCTTACGGGCACGTGATACAGTAAGCTTGTCTTCTTCAGATAATTCATCCATTCCCAAAATAGCAATGATATCTTGCAAAGATTTATAATCCTAAATGGAAAGATTTTAATTTAAAAGGTCACTTTTTATAATTTTATAAAACAAAATATTACTTACTCATACACAATTCAAAGATAAAAATGAAAAGCAATTTTACCCATAAAACAAAGCATTCTAGTTTGTACTTTATCTAGAAATAAAAATTATATATACCCAGATTTTTTAAATTAAATCCTTTTTTTTTATCAGATAAATTTGCTTAAATACTACACATGCTACAGATTCCAAATTTAATGAAATAATCAAAATGAAAAGTAAAATCATTACAGAGATCAAAATTTCCTATTTGTTTATTAAGAATATTACACATAACCAGCATTACAAACCTGCAATATTTTTTGCACACCACGAGCAACATCATAATGTTCTTGTCCTACTATGTTAGGGTCCATAATCCTTGATGTTGAATCAAGAGGATCTACAGCAGGATAGATACCCAATTCAGCAATACCACGAGATAAGACAGTGGTGGCGTCCAAGTGGGCGAATGTAGTAGCAGGAGCAGGATCAGTCAAGTCATCAGCAGGTACATAAATGGCCTATAATAAAGAGGGTGATTCAATATCATAATACTGCATATGATATAAAAAAAATTTCTGAAATTTTTAAGCTCAAATGAGTGAAACAGAACTGCTCACCTGTACAGATGTAATTGATCCTTTTCTTGTAGTTGTAATTCTTTCCTGCATGGTACCCATATCAGTTGCCAAGGTGGGTTGATAACCTACAGCAGATGGGATACGTCCCAGCAATGCTGATACCTATTGTAAAAATACAAATTTTACTGCTATATATACAAAGTGAAGGCATTGTTTTTACATGTTTTCTTAAATGTCATTTCATTACTTTCCCAATCCCATTCACATTAACAGCAGAATATTTCATTTATAAGCTATAATTTCAGCTATATGTTGTTTTTGCCCACACTTATTCAACAGGTTTCCCCCCCCTTCTATAATCTCAATTTTTTTTTTTTTTTTTTTTTTTTGGTTATTTTTAATAGCAATACACAAAGGTAAGAGAGAGCAAAAATAAACATGTAGGATATCTCAGACTGGTGCATACAGGAGCTAGTTGAAAGATGGAAGGGGAATGAATCACTTAGAAGGATGAGTTAAAAAATTAGTCTCTCCTGATGGCATATACTTTGTTCCTGTATTATATAAGATGATTACCAAATATCCTATGCATTCTTCTTTGAAGATAACTTGTAGCTAAAATGTCTAGAAAACAATACACTTCTGAAAGAAAGGGGGGGAGGAAAAACCTGAAAAACTGACAAAAGTTTCAAAATACTTTCCCCTATGTTAACATTAAAAATAATTGTTGCTGACTGAAGTAAAATAAAAAGAAAGAGCAGGAAATCAATTTAAAAAACACTGTATTATCTGAAGTGAAAATTTTCCCATCGTTGAAGTTTGCTACAGTTTTTCATTCAATGCCATGCTCATATTCAAGTGAATGGGTCTAAGCTAATGTATAAAAGGAATATATTGGAACTGAAATATGAAGCATACTTATTTTTCAACTGGACAGAATAAATTTAAATTGTGTCAAACAATCTCTTAGCATGAAAGTGGAAAATTTAAAAATATTCCAGTTGAATGTATCTGCAAATGTAAGGAAATGAGCAAGTTCAAATTCACCGTGCAACCCTAATTGTTCGGCGGTTGGGGTTGGTCATTTGCATTTGGACTGCGGATTTAAATTATCCCTTAGCGAAATTTGCGGTGCTACAGTTTCCTCATGAGTAATCTTCGCACTCTTGCATGGTCCAGACTACATGGAATTAACATTTACAGAAAATTCCTGCGTAAGCACAGACATCAGTCAATTAGCTTAAATCTTTCGGCATATCCAATGTCTACAAAACTGATCTCTTATCTTATGTTGCAAGATTTCCCTTTAATAACAATCAATGCAAAATGAAGTCAGAAAAATAAAAAAAAACTTGTCTTATTACTTTATTTTATGCAATGCTCATGACATGGAAAAAACCATACCTCTAGAAAGTCAAAGAATCTAAAGTGTTTAAAATGTATCAATTTGTACTCTTACATATAGGATATATGCTTAGGAATGTCTCTGTGAAGGATTTTGCAGATAAGGAAAACTGGCTCATATTTCCATTTTATACATTAGTCTGATAGAGAAAATAACAACAACAATACCCAGCCTCGTGAGACTAAACCACATTACAGGTCCACTTTCCCTTCAAGACAAGCTGCTGAGATTCAACCTCTGCTATTGTCCCTCCAGCAGAGTGGCGCACCACTTGGGATTCCCCAGGCAGCACTGGTTGTCTACCTGCCAGTTGACTTGCTACCTGCCAGTTGCTCGGGCTGCCCGTCACAGTGGGACATTACCCAGCGAACCTGGGGGGAACTACTCCCCGACTACTAGACCGCACCACTCGGGACTTGCCAGACCCCGAGGCTAGCCAATAAGTGACCTTTCCCAGGGCCTTCATTAAAATAACAATAGAGAAAATAAATCTAATATAAATATTTAATCAATTCTGCACTAAAGCTTACTTCAGAACCAGCTTGTGTAAACCTGAAAATGTTGTCAATAAACAGCAGCACATCTTGTCCTTCTTCATCACGGAAATACTCAGCAACAGTCAGACCAGTGAGGGCAACTCGAGCACGAGCACCTGGAGGCTCATTCATCTGTCCATATACAAGAGATACCTAAAAAGACATTTTAGAATTAAATAAATTCATAGCGAGAAATTTTAGTGTCACAAAGTTAAAAAAAAGTGCCTATGAAATATTAAATGCACAAACTTATATTGGGGGGGGGACAAGAGAACTGAATTGTTAACTAGCCTATCCCCTTCCCTACCCCTCAAATATTTGAAGTATGCATTTTAAAATAAATAACTGCTGAATAAAGAAGATAACTTATATTTATTAAATACCTGAATGGCAAAATTATTTTTATCTGAAATAATCAGCGTTTACTTCATGTATACTAGCATGTTCTTTAAAACATTTTAATAATTTAGATAATTTTACTAATGATTAATTATGACAATAAAAGTCATTACATAAATTAAGATGAATACTATGCTAAATATAAACTTTTTTAGTTCTAAAATGCATTGCTATTTATAACAAACTAATGAAAAAGTATTAAGTAATAAGCATCGTCTTTTAATACAGCATTCCTATTTCTTGATATAAAAATTTTCAGCATTTAATTCTGACCAGCATGAGGTTTCACTAAAAAAACCATAATTTTCCAAAACTGCCACGAGAAAGAGTTATTTTCATATCAGAATGCCCCTGGTATTTTATACCTTAATTTATGCATTTTAAACATATTACAATTTCTTAAAGATGTAATATGTTTAAAATGCATAAATTAAGGTATAAAATACCAGGGGTATAAAATTTTGTACATAAACTTTCTTAAAGATGTCAAAAAATATTTTCGAGGTTACATATACATAGTCTTGCCAGTCAGATGGTTAATGAAATATACGGTCTTCAAACTTTGTCAGCTAAGGAAACTCATAAATCTCTATATAAAGTAAAAATTGAAAAAGCACTGAAAGTATATAAACGTTAAAAAAATTTACGGAGATGATAAAGTGAATTAAAAGTCATGTAATACAAGACTCAGATCATATAAAATGTAGATTTATATTTTGAAAGATGTTTCTTATAAATAAAATACAAAGTTATTCATAAACCGTAATATTACCACAAAATGAGTAACTTCATTTATTTTTTAACATATTTCATAAATGTTCAACATGTCACTTCGTTGATATAGCAGACAATCTATACAACATTGGGAGGATTTACTCGGACATACTTAAAAACTGTCATCACAGCTGAATGTAAATAGTGAAATAAATTACTTCTTTCAGTACAATTTGTACAGCTCATTAAAATACATTTTTATCGAGATCACTTGCAAGGGTATCTCAATCAAAATTTACAACAGCTAAGAGAGCATGCATAAATAGAAGATGACATATTAAAGTGGTAGCCAACCAATTTCCACTCTAATCAACTGCAATATATGCTTTTTATTTGACATAACATGCAAGTCAAAGTGGATCATTGCACAGATATCCATCATAGCAAATGTAGAGCTGAGTTTTTATGAAATAAGCACAAAATGAATTTATGATTCTTTAAACTCTTAAGGAATTATAAATAATCCAGATTAATTTAAATTCCAAGAGAAGACAAAAATAACTATAACTTGATATTCTTAAATAAGATAAAACTACATAAACATGCTAAATCAGATTTAATAATCCTCTGAGTAAAAAGACTTTCTTTTGCTTGTTACAATTCATATTTACTTTGTGGATATTTTTTTCCCTTAAATGTTTTAATGATCTACAAGTCTTTCTAAAAAAAAAACCATGTTAATAACTATAAAAATAATTACTTAAGTTAACTAACTGGCAAATATTATGTACTTAGAAAAGTTTAGAAATTGCTAAAGCACTGTCACCAGAGCCAGATTACATCTTTTACAGGCTTTAAAAGATTTTGATACCCCCACATTCATCCCCCTTCCTTCTTTCTTTGTCTTGGTTTAGCAACACTATACATTCCACGGTAAATATGGCAATGGGAAATTTTTTTGGCGCGCCTTTCCTTGATGCTCTAAGCCCATGCTTAACTCCAGTGCTGACCGGCACTCGTAATGTTAAATATAAAATAAAAGTGTTAAAAAGAATGATAATTTTATAATTTATAAAATTCCTACCATAAATATGACATTCTGAGCATCATTTAAATACTATAATCCTCATTTAATATGGGAGTTGGTGCTAGAAAATTGTTGCATTTATCAGAAATTGTGCTTTCTGAGACACCGACCCCCCCAAAAAAAAGATTTATATTCTAAAAATTGTTTTTAAATAAGCTTCTAGAAGTTTATTTAAAAAGTAGTAAAAGTTAGTTTAAAAACAATACTACAAAAATTTACTTCTAAAGTAAAATCTGTAACAGATCTGCAAGAATCTTCAGCCATGCTTATTCAATTTGCATTCTCTGTATTATATTTTTTTCATTCAGAATTTTAATAGTATTTAAAACTCGCTAAAACCACGATACATATTCAAAACCACGTTCCGTAAGTACTCTATTACATTATACAATGATTATCTGAATAAATCTTTAATTCACTTATATTTTTGAAGAATAATAAACCGAGACCTTTTATTTAAAAATTTGCATGGATATTTTGTTTATATGTAGGTGCTAAATTAACATAACATTTACCATAAATGCAAGTGCAAAAATCAAACATTTTTGTAATGAAATAAATATAATATACAGTCAAAAGTCTTTAATCCGCACCAGACTCGTCGGGACTTCGGCGATTCCGGGTTATAGATCATCAGTTTAAATCTGGTAAGATGGCATGCAGAAATTATAAAATTAAAAATATGAAACTGTAATTTATGAAATAAAGAACTATTATGATCTAAAGGGTATCAAAATTTAAAAAAAAAAAAGCTTAATATTTATTTGTTTACTTTATTAAACATTTCTTTCAATTTAAGTTGTTTTATGTGCTAATACTTTCTCTTTAATTCTATATAAACAGACATAATTTCTTGTTCAGTTACAAAGTTCCGTTGTTCAAGTCCTGTAATTGCTGTGCCGAGAATACCGACTAACTTGTCAATCAAAATTTTTTCGTTTTCACTAACCTCTCTGTCACTTTCTTCATGTCTTTATCCATTTTTTGCAGCAATTCCACTTTTTGTTTGATGGACATCGAAACATACTTTCGCTTTGTAGATCCTTTGGGAGCTCTAGCATCGGAAATTCTATTTGACATAATCGAAAGTTCAAGCTTACTTTTATAAAATTGCTCTAACAGTCTGCAAAAAACAATAAGCCGGATCTGATTCGAAGATTAAGGAACAACACAATCTGCAACATTAACTGAAATAGATAATTAGATAATTTTAGCTTATACCGTGCGTTATACATTAAACGCGCATGCGTAAACGTATTATGCGCTTGCGCACACGCACAGCCGTAAAGGTCTTACGCGCATACGTCGACACAATGCATGCGCAGAAAGTTTGTAGCTTTGAGGTCCGGATTATGGGTGTCCGAATTAATGACTTTTGACTGTATTATATAAATGATAGTCACTACTAGCAATGTGTTTTAAATATTATTAGACTGAGAAATCTTGTAAAACTTAATCTTGTAATCTTAATGTGCATTAAAACAATACAGAAGAAAAGAAAAGGGAGGAAACTGCTTTAAAAAACATTTAAATCCCCTTTACAATTGCAAAAATTCAGAATCTCACAGTTTTACATATTTCAAAATTATGCAATAACAAAAATATCGATTTTTGTTAAATAAGAAAAAAAGGTACTTTTTTTTGACAACACGTGAAAGAATATTCTAATTAAATTTCTCTAAGCATCTGTAACAAAAAAATTTCAAAAGAGCTAACCTTAGAGCTTTTATCCTTTAAACTGATAACACCACCCTCAATCATTTCATGATATAAGTCATTTCCTTCTCTGGTTCTTTCACCTACTCCAGCAAATACTGAATAGCCACCATGAGCTTTAGCAATGTTGTTAATCAGTTCCATAATTAATACAGTTTTACCTACCCCAGCACCACCAAACAAACCTTCAAAAGAAATTAATCAAAATTATAAAAAAAAAGGAATACTCAAAATAGAATATTACAAAAGACAATATGTAATCAAGTAAAAAAACATACCAATTTTTCCACCTTTGGAATATGGAGCTAATAAATCTACAACTTTTATTCCTGTCACTAAAATTTCCTGTTCGACACTCATTTCAACAAATTCAGGGGCTTCTTGATGAATTGCAGAATATTTATCAGTGACTACTGGACCTCTTTCATCAATAGGTTCACCAATTACATTGATAATTCTTCCTAAAGTTTCTGGGCCAACAGGAATTTTGATGGGAGACTTCGTATCCAGCACCGTGTTGCCACGAACTAAGCCTTCAGTACCGTCCATAGCAATCGTTCGAACAGTATTTTCTCCTGTGAAAAATAAACACATATTTAATGTTAAAAAACAAACTTTAGTAACTAACACTAAGCCAGTCATGACATTTCACTAAATTCTCATCATCAACTTGTAAATCAAACACAAAGTTATCGCATAAACTAAAAAGTGACAGTAAGAGCTACAGACAAAATTATGCTAAGTATAATTAAAACATAATTTACATTAGATTCTATTTTATTAAATGGCATGTATTGTATAGATATTTAATAAACTGTCGATTTATTCTTTACCATAGTCAATTTCGTTCTCATAGATGTTTATAACAACCAGCAAAACATTGCCTTTTCTTAAGACCAAAGTTGCCAGTTTCTCTCGACAAGGCCACTATAGAAGACAAGTACCCAACATAGGGTATTTCATATTGAATAAGACAAAAAGGATAGTATAATTCAAATCTTAATTGATTTATTAAACAAAACAAATTTCGAGATTACAATTATACAAGTTTTAATAGGCAACAGCGAAAAATCTTCTGGTTACGAAATCACCCCTTAAAAGCATTTTTAACCTCCTGCATGGCTTCATCCATGCAGGAGAAAGCATACCATGTTTTAGAATACAGCAAAACATCATCATTTATCATTGTTCAAAGACATTTTTGTACGAAATTTGGTAAAGAAGCACTACATCGAAAAGTGGGCGAAATAGTTTGAGGAAACGGCTGCTTGTGTAAAAAACCAGCCCAGGCTAAACAGCAACCCAAGCCAAAGTGCTGAAAATTCGTGAAACATACTTACGAAGTACCACAAAATCAACGCTGGGAAGTTCTGAATTCAAAGACCCTCATGTAACGGTATGATGCATGTTACAAAAAAGTTTACAAATCCAGCCATACACCTTTCAGAGAGTGCAGGCATTAAAACTATCCGATGAACTGTTGCATAAAGCTTTATGTAAGAATCTGCAAGATAAGCTGGAGGTGGTTGGTTTCGTGAACGGACTTGTGATTAGGGATGAAGCCACTTTTCATGTTTCTGGCACAGTTAACTGCCATAATTTACAATTTTGGGGCATGGAAAATCCACATAGGGTAATGAAACATATGTGATTCTCCAAAGGTGAATATTTTATGCACAATTTCCAAAAGTTCTGTTTTTGGTCTTTTTTTCCTTATGGAAAATCGATTAATGAATGCATTAACCAATATATGTTATTACAGTAGTTGTTTTCTCAGCTGGAAGAATACATAGCAATATTAACATAATATCTAATAGGATAACTTTATTTCTACTTCCCTATAACTCAATTCTTGCCATTTCTTGTTGTCTCTACTACTTCTTAAGTTTCGAATCGTTCATAATACAGTTGGCCCTGCGAAATCTTAGACTGAATGACAGTTTGTGTTTGCTTTGCTGTAACAAGTCAGTTAGGGTATTAGGATCGCATAAACTTCAATAGTTCAGCATGATTTTCGCAAGTAGTTTCTAAAAGCTTACCTTTACTAATCCGATGAAAACAAACATTATGTGTATGAATTTATTTTTAAATTTAGTTGAGCTCGTTCTCCGATTTCACTGAGGAAAGATACTTGAGAGCAGATATGTTTAAAATTTTTAGAATTGGTCACTAAATTCCGGAGCTGATGGAATATTGTATCTGTTTTTCAGTTTTAAATTCATTTGCCTTTTTCTATTTTTCTTTTAATATGTATATTTTCTATTTTTTTTTAATTTCAGCCTTCTTTCAATTACCTGATTTATAGGTGAAAAATTTTTCAAAGAACAGAACCAACAGCATTAATAAAACTTTGCAACTTAATAAAATGCTGCACTTTCATAAAGTTTATGACCTTGTTTTGTGTAGAAATTTATTATACACCTCTCCTTTTTACCACACAGACATTACAATCCTTTATAAATTAAAAATAAGAAGTTTTAGATACTTTAAAGAAAGCTGTGAAAAATTATAATTCCCGACACTGGCTTATATAAGCTGATGCATGACTCAGGAAAATAAAATTAATAATCATCTATATCAATTAATATCTTCAACATAAAATTACAGTATCTGCAGATTAGCAGATTAGGTAATTATCCCAATAACACATAAAAAAAAGTCTCTCAATTGTAAAAGATTTTTTTAATTCAAAACGACTTATTATAATCATAACACAAGTTGCAAAGTTTTATGACACTTTATCACAAGATTTATTCTGAGAAGACTTAGTCAGTTTACACCTATAACTAGTAGAGAAATGCTGGCAGATTTTAACACCTGAAATAAATCTTTATGTGGTTTCTCTTAAAATTTACATCTTTCAGAACATTTTATTGATTTATTAATAATACTGTACTCTATTTTTTACTATAGCAAGCTCCACTCACTCAACATTTGGCAAAGCATTCACATTTACAATAGCATTTCCACTTCTATAGCAAAATACAATACTTATAGTATCAGCTGATGTTTTTTGGAAATATATTTCATTCACAGCATAGGATCCTACATTCTGTATATCATTTAGTACATAACTGGTAAATACCATTACAGTTTATTTAATAAACTGCTTACATGTCTTTCAAGATTCACACAATTCCTGATAAATTATAGACAAACATGAAATGCTGAATAAAATCTGTTGCGCCTGAGCGCGCATTTCATTACTAGCGTCGGCGCATGCGCCTTGAGCTCTTGGAGTTTGTGAGCTAAGAGCGTGTGAGAGAATTCGTGGCTTCGAGTGGTCATGAACGATGCAAATTAATGAGAATAAAAGTGAGATATAATACAGTTCATTGTTCTTGAGTTTATTGAATTATAGTGTAGTGCCTGTGCAAAACACTGTGGTCCGTCGAGCCGGAGATCTATGGATTATGAGTTATTTACAAATAACAAGTAAGTCAGCAGTTTCGATTTAAGAATAAAGTACCATTTTGTTATTTTGAGATACTGTGTAAGAGTTTTGAGAAAATTTATATACTGTGTTACTGTGTTTAAGTAATTGAGAAGAATTATTTATTATCTTATTTCATTAAGAGTACAATGTTGATAAAAAAGGTGCACTTAAAGAGGATTTAAAGCTATTAGCTTTAGAACTGAATACAGAATTAAGTGAAAAGATAATTGTTACAGTTTTAATTTAGCGATTAAAAGTAGTGAAGCTTTTAAATCCGATCCAAATTCGGTAATAGAGTTGGGTAATTCTATAGTAGAGCATCGTAAATCTGAAGAAGCTAAAGTATTACAGTTAAAACAAATTAAATTTAGAGAGATGTACAACAGAACTGGAAATTGCTCAACTGCGAGCTGAAACCAAAAGTGTTAATAATGATCAAAATGAAACTAAAGGAGAAAGTTCCGATTCCTTAGATTCTCTTATTAAAAGTATAAGAACACTAACATTGAAGGTTCCGTAAACCTGAAAACTGGAGTTATTTTTTCTCGTCTTTAGAAAGAGCTTTCGCGACAAAAAATGTGCTTGAGAAATCTAATCTAAAGCAGAAATATTGTTAAACTTGTTAGGGGAACGGGCTTCGAACATTATCGTGTATATTAGAGATGAGGAGCTAAGTGACTATGAAAAAGTAAAAGCTATTATTCTATAAAGAATTCGAACCTACACCACAAATTGTTTTAGAAAATTTTAAAAAGGCTCAACGCCTAAATGAGTCCCATGTGCAGTTCGTGTCGCGATTAACCACAAATTTCGAATATTACTTAAAATTGAGGAAAGTGTCTGATTTTGAAACTCTGAAGCAGTTAGTAATATCAGACAAATTGTTTGAGACATTAGATCGAGAAACGTCAGCCCATATTTCTGTAAGGCAAGCTGAAAGTTGGTTTCCGCCTCAACAAATGGCTAAGGAAGCAGATTTATTTTTCACATCTCGCGGAAAGTCCCTTGCCGCAAGTGTGGACAGTTTTCAAAAAATCTCGCAACAATTACAAAACGTCGAAAAATGTTTCAAAGGTATTCCTTGCCGATGTAAAAGGTTTAAAGTGTGTTCTTTGTGAGGAAAATCATTTTTTGGCAAAATGCCTAAATTTCTTGAATGATCGGGTTGAAATCATCAAAAGTCATAAATTATGCTTTAATTGCCTAGCATTAAACCATTCCGTCAAAAACTGCAAATCAAAGTTTCGTCGTGTTCCGTTTGTGGGAAAAGACACCACACATGACACTGCATTTTCCAGTAGAAAATAAATCATCGAAAAAGAGAAGGGAAAAAAATAAAAACGAAACAGCGAGTAGTTTCAGTATGCTTTTCCCCCTAGCGCCAGACTTTCTGCCTAACAGCGGTAATACTCTACTTACAGCAACTAGTGTAAACAGATCCAAAAAAAGTGTTCTGAGCAGTACTTCATCGTTTATAAGCAGAGACTGTGCGAATAAATTCAACTTTGATTCTGAGAAGGTAAACATTGCGATTTCCGGATTAAATGATTCCTTGTTTACAATTCGGAAAAGAGTTTCGGCATGCATTAGCAATAAAGATAAAAGTTACACGAGACATTTAGACTTATTAGTAGTACCAAAAATCACGCAAGACTTGATTCCTTCAAGGAAAATTGATATTAAAATGCAGGATTTTTGTAACATAAAATTAGCTGATGAGAATTTTAATGTTCCAGAACGTATAGAGATGCTTTTAGGAGCTGAGGTTTTTTTTTGAGATATTAAAATCTGAACAAATTCGCTATGAAAACTCGAGTCTTATTTTACAAAACAGCGTGTTCGGGTTTATAGTGTCGGGAAGCATTACATCAGAAGAACAGAGCCGCGTACATTGTGGGTTAATGAAAACATCTAATGACTTAGAACAAACAATGAGAAAATTTTGGGAAATAGAGAATGTTGAAATAGCCATTCCAAAAAATAAAGAAACAGCAATATGTGAAGAACATTATGTGCAAACTCATAAGCGGAATGAAGAAGGGAGATACATTGTAACAATGCCACTAAAGGAAGATCCTAGTTGCTTAGGAAATTCAAAAGATGTTGCCTTTGAGAGATTAAATTGCCTATGGAAAAGAT